ACTGCAGGACGCCCAGGATGGACATGTCGTCTGAGGAATGGGAGGGGGAGTTGAAATTGTTCGCGACTGGGAGGTGTAGTTGTTTAGTGCGAACCGAGCGTAGGTGTTCTGCAAAGCGGTCCCCAAGCCTCCGCTTGGTTTCCCCGATGTAGAGGAGGCCACAACATTGCAGGCATTTTTTAAAACTCCAATACGTGAACCTTATCACACAGGTGTAAATCAAACTAGGGATTGAGGGTTCTTTCATGTCTGCCTCGTTTCATTGTCTCTTGATAAATTGTTAATTCTAATTCAAACAATTTTGTTTGCCTCATGTTAGTTTCACCAAACCTAGCTAACTGCATGGTCAGCTGATTGGCTATTATAAGTCAACATTTTTCTTTTCTAAATCCATTTCAGAACTCGAAAGTCCTAAGGATTATGGCCCATATCTTATATCCACAATGAAAATCTCTTTAAAGAAATTAAGACATTAGACATACGTACAGATAAAACTATAAAATACTTCTGATGTGCCAACTCCAACTGAAATAATATGTAAATTCTCATACAAGCCAAAAATATTTCTGTGAATGAACCTGGATTTTAATCCCATGTGTACAATGTCCACAAGAATGAACATTAACACCATTATCCACATTAGACAAAAGTGGTTCAGCTATGTTACAGACAAATGATCTAATTCACAAGTCTGGAGCTATATTTCAGGGTCTTGTTCTGTAGTATTGAGCACAAACATTTCAGCAGCGCAATGAAGGCAAAATTGCCATAGTCCTACCAGACCATAGGGCTGTCCTCTCATTACAGAGGGAAGAGTTTGTGAAGGAGAGTTCTTCATAGTAACCTCAACCAGTCAAGTATTTGAATCCACTCTGTTGGCCTCAGTCTGCTTTACAAGCCATGCATCTGGATGCAGTGCAGTACTGAAGGAGGATTATGGAGTGCTGTTTCAGTGAAGATGATATACCCCATGCCTTCAGTTTCTCAGAAAGAATGCTGAATGCAGCAGTGGTGTTAGAGAAACATTGGAAGCATATAATTTTGGAGTTTATTTTAGGGTTGGAAATTATCGCAGCTGAATGTTTTGTTTATTAGAAAGTATTTCTCCACCCATTACTTTATAGGATGATTTAATTTCAAACAACAGCGAATCACTAGATTGTGTTCAGCATGGTTCTCATCCACGAGTACTTCTGACACCAATTCCTACAGTCAAAACTGAATCTGACAGTTTAGTCTGAACTTTGATAGTGAACTTTTGGTGGATTCTTGAAACAAATTGTGTTTCCTTGCTTCGACTTTGTATGTTTTTGCTTTAAATTTCAAACGATGCAGGTGCTGTCCTCTAGTGGAGGCCATCAAAAATATGGATCCAATCATGGATTTTGGACATCATACATGAAAAGCACTGAGTTTTTTTTTAAATTGGGAAATTCAGATAGAGTGACTACTGCACCTGCCCTGTTGCTGTCATTTGAAAAAGGCAGTTATTTGTAGGCTTTTTTGGTCAATCCTTTTGAATGCAGGAAATTGAATGGATGTGAATCTTTGAAGGAGTTCAAGGGTGGAGTTGTTTCACTTTTTAAAAATAAAAATAACTCATTTGAAGAATTTCACACCAAAATAAGATAATCTCTCAACAACTAGCTATGATGGACTTTTTGTTTCATTTTCAATACCAGATAAAGTTGATCTACTCATAGTTTTTATGACCAAGGTTGCAAATAGTAAAATTAAAGGTGTAAATGAAAAAGTAGTGGATGAAGTTGCTGGGTCAAAGTCCTGGAACTCCATCTCTAATGGCATTGTGGATATACGTACAGCAAATGGCCTGCAGAGATTCACAAAAGAAATTCACCAGCACCTTCTCAAGGGACAACTAGGGATAGGTAAAAAATACTAGTCCAGCTAGTGGGTGGCATGGTGGCTCAGTGGTTAGCACTGCTGCCTCACAGGCACCAGGGACCTGGATTCGATTCTACCCTCAGGCAACTGTCTGTGTGGAATTTGCACATTCTCCATGTGTCTGCGTGGGTTTCCTCCCACAGCCCAAAGATGGGAGGCTAGGTGGATTGGCCATGCTAAATTACCCCTTGGTATTCAGGGATGTATTGATTAGGTGGGTTATAGGGGGATAGGTCTGGGCGGGATGCTTTGAGGGTCAGTGTGGATGTGTTGGGCCGAAGGGCCTGTTTCCACACTGTAGAGATTCTATTCTATTCTAGTGATGCCCACTTCCCCTGAATAAATTTAGAAAATAATAACGATTGGGTGTTTGTCAGGTTTTGATTTGAGATTGAATCTGGAAAGAAAGTCTAAGGAAGGGAAAGTGTTGGACAGCTTGAAGATTCTGGGGGGGAGGACAGTGTGTAACAAAGGAAAATGTCCAACACACCTTGACTACAATACCTCAGGAAAAAGGAAGAGTGTACAGGACGTCAGATTGTGACTTGAAAGTGTATAAGATGGCCAAGTTCAGAGCAGGTCTTACCATAGCAGTCACAATAACGTACAGAAAGGAGACAGCAGAATTTGAGGAAGAGGAGGAGGAGCTGGAAGCTTATCGTTGTAATAAGTTGTAATGGGATCTGTATGTACTATGTATTGGTTCACAAATTAATTAGTTTTCAACAGGCATTGAATACTCATAGAAATTGGAAAAAAGGCCCATGTGGCACCTTTATTTGAAAGTGACAATTTGGAAGTTCTGGTCAGTTAGTTTCACAGAAATATCAGGGTGAAGAAGGAGGCCATTCAGCCCATCTTTCCACACATTAGTTCACAGAAAGTTCTTAGATTAATGATTAGAGATGTGCTTTTGGATGACTCGGAAAGTACATTGCTTATTTGGGAATCCCACAGAACTTTTGGAAATAGACATGCTGTCTCACCAAATTGGTTGCATTTTTGAAAATGTTGTGAAGTGGATTGATCATGGTAGCCTGGTAGATGTCTTGCGCTTAGATTGTCAACTCACTTTTGATAAAGTGCTACACAAAATGTTGTTAAATAAAATGTGTTCATCCCTCTGCATTCATTTTATTGTTTTAATTTAATATTTGTACTTACTAAATGGAAGTTGATGTTAACTCAGAAATTATTTATCTAATCAAATTGTCCCCAAGATATCCAAACAGTACCTAAGAAACTGGGTGCTTTCAAAGTGTGTACACTATTGAGAAATAATGAAAGGACTGAAGATCTTGAAAACAGTTTGAACAACAATACAATATCAGATGGATCCATTGAGATCAAAGGAGGTAATGTACTGAAGAGCCCTCAAATTAATATGAAAAAGTTAGAGCATGAGTCAGATAAAATAATTTCAGAATAAACTAGAAAGTAGTATCTATATCTTAATGTTGAGTCCAAATAATATTTGGATGGATACATAGTACCTGACCTTGTCAAAGACCAGTACATATGGTTCAACAAAAAGTTCCACGAATGAATGGCATATAAACAATGACATGATGCTTCAGTTGTGTCATATTCATGCTACTGATCATCGACAAGACCAGAACCTCACAAATGATAAATAATTTCAGAGTTCACATCAACTTCCGTTTAGAAAGTGTAAATATTAAAATGGTACAATAGAAGAATGAATGCAGAAGGACTAATGTTCTTTGTCTATTTAATAGTATTTTGGGTAGCTGTTTATTGAAGGCATTTTGGCAATGCAAGTGCACAACATCTAACATGGTGAATCCACTTTACAACATTTTCAAAAAGCAACAAATTTGGTGAGACAGCACCTTTATTTCCAAATGTTCAATGGGATTCCCAAAACACCATTACACTTTCCGAGTAATCCTACACCACATCTTTAATCATTCATTTAAGAACTGATATGCAGACATGATGGACTGAATGGCCTCCTTCGGATCTTGAGAGTTCTGCGATTCTGTGAAACTAACTGGCCTCAAATTCCATAGTGTCACTTTCTTCCTTTTAAAAAGAAGAAACCACATAGACTTTTTCTCATAAGGGTATTCAATGGCTGTTGCAAACTGGTTAAATTGTGAACTAACAGTTGGTATCAACAAAGCCCACTTTTCCCAATGGAGAAGATCCTGCTGCTCAGTAGGTGGAAACCATTCAGTATCTTGACTGCATCTCAGGAATATGCAGAGCCTTTCAAAGACCTTTTGCGATCTTTCAGCTGTCCTTGATTTTGTAACATTGCTTACAAAAATGCCTTACTACTACTGCCATATTGATCCCTGTTTTCGTTGATCTCTTCCAAGATATTATAGAAAATATTGTCCTCAACTGACCTGTGCCTGTCCTTGTTTGCTGGTGTACTGTTCTGATTAAAATTAATAAAGTGACTTCTGCTTTGTTTAATTTATCAACAATGTTAGTTTAACTTTACATGCTAAGGGACAGGAGTAGGTTCAAAAATATACTCTTTGAGGAGGAAATCTTCAGCACCAACGCCTTGTAATTGCCAAGAGGGTAAAGGATCAAAAAGAAGTAAACCCTGGTGCTGGTCACAGTGGTTGAATAACATGATGCAGTAGAGCAAGACTTTTTATCAAAATCATGAAGATTGAAGTTAAGGCAGATGAATTAACTTTTTATGTCAGTCAGCAATTGTGCTGTCAAATCTAAACACGCATTTCTCGATAACCATAAGCAGAGAATGTTATAAGTAAAATAATCTGCATGTAACTTGAAATTAACTTTATTGATTTAGACAGGTTCGGTTAAAATCTGGACTGATCTAATCTGCAGTTGCACTGTTAGACTCTCAGTTCATTTCTTGATGTTTTAATACAATATGGTATGCATTATGTCTGATCAGTGAAAGACAAATAACTCTTTCAAATGGTGATGACAAAGTACTTCTCTTACTGGATCATATGGGCAGAATTAGAAACTATGTTCAATTCAGACTGCTTTAGATGTGATACAGTCTAAATGACAGCCAATGCTGTCAGCTCAGTCAACTGGAAATCTAACAATAACCTTTTTTTTTCACCATTTGCTTTTAGGTAAATTTATAAATATCGTGGCTACTGTCTTTTGCTTTGGGCCCCAAACAGCAGGTAAGCATTGAAATTCTAATCCTGCTCATCCCATAACTGTTGGCTCCGATTAGTCGCCATGGGTGGGGAACAATTTCACAAAATAGATTTATTTTTCAACATGCCGCGTCACTGAGGTTACCTTCTTATAAATGTAAGATCAAGCACCAGTAATAAAGCAATGCATGGCTGCAAATTCTGAATAACGTTTCTGAAAGGAAGCAAGGAAAACAAAACAATCCAAATCAAGTCGCTTAATTCCAGCCCTTTTACCACCCCGCCCCTCCCCACAATTCCTACATGCTGCATCAGTCTGGTTTTCTGTGTCTTGAAGGTGATGCTGCCTTCAGGAAAATATATTAAGATCCCAGTTGCTTAGTGAATAAATGGATTGCTTGGATCAAAATTAGACAGATGCTCCCACTCACCAGAACATCCCAGGTTTGGTCACTGCCCTGCTTAATCAGGAAATCTCAGCAGAGACAGAAATAACAGGGCTGCCAGCACCCATCACAGCAACCCAAGCTCAAGGAGGAAGAGAAACAGGCATGGTGGACAGTCAAACTGATTATTCATTGACTTGTAATGGAAAGTGTGTAACTGGGGAAATTTGAATGAGTACAGAATCAATGTGATATGTAGCATTCCTCCTGGATGTTTTCACTCTCGTGACTCACTATTAAGGCTTGCACATGAACAATCGCTAATAAGACAAGGTTACAGCAATGGCTATTGGTGCTTTGGGGCTCAGTCGGTAACACACTCCTCCTTCAGTTAGAAGCTTGTTGGTTCAACGCCTATTTCAAGGACAAAGCCAGAAGTTGCTGGAAAAGCTCAGCAGGTCTGGCAGCATCTGTGAAGAAAAAATCAGAGTTAATATTTCGGGTCCAGTGACCCTTCTTCAGAACTGATGGTAACTGATGGCATCAGTTCTGAGGAAGGGTCATCGGACCTGAAACGTTAACTCTGACTTTTTCTTCACAGATGCTGCCAGACCTGCTGAGATTTTCCAGCAACTTCTGGTTTTGTTCCTGATTTATAGCATCCACAGTTCTTTCAGTTTTTATTGCCTAGTTCAAAGACTTGAGTACAAAATTAGGCTGGCATTCCAGTAAAATACTGAGTGAGTGGCCTCATGGCTGGATATAAAATATCCCACTATTTAAAAAGCAGGTGAGTCATCTAGGTGTTCTGGCCAATACTTATCCCTCAACTCACTCTTTTGTAAAGAGAGGTGATATGGTAATTTTTTGTTTGGGGTTTTTGGGACCTGTACAGAATTCGGCTATCACATGGCAACATTACCACAGCGTAAGCATAGTCATGGTCTGTAAAGTTCTTTAGGACATCCAGAGTGATGAAAAGCACTTACATAAATACTTTAGTCCAATCAGGGGAGATGAGAGGAAAGGACAACACTTGGAGCAGGAAATTCAAGAAGAAAACAGTTAAATGTGAGGAAAGAGCGTTGGGACAGTTTTCAAGCTGCACATTGAAACTTACTGTTATATATAAAAAAAAGCACTGTGGTCCTACCATGGGTTACTAACACATTGAGTTAATGATACTCATCCATTTCTTTTCAATATTTCACCATCTCTAACAGACAATGGAGAAAGGAATTCTTGATCAATGTGGCGAGAACTTACATACTATCTATCCCACAGTGTAACCTCAGAGTCCAGAGTGACAATTACATATGAGACCAGTTGTCAGCCAACAGCCAAACCTGTGTTACCTCAAGAAGAGGCATTGTCAGGATAAAAAAATGCACTGTAACACATGTTTATGGTTTAGTTTGAGTGGAATTTAAGAACTTGGCAGTTGGAGGCTTTTATGAAACATAATTATCACATATTGACGAGGTGGCCTAAGGACACATGATTTCATCTGTTAAAAGTGTTTACATTTGATTTCAGTTACCCTTCTGGATCCATTTGACCTGAATCTGTTTTTATTTTACTAGTAAATGGTTCCTATTATTAAGGTAACTGTTAAAATGGCAGACAGTCTGCTTCCTGACAATTGATATAAGCATGTGCTACTATAGAAACGGGCAGTCCCATAAAAGTAACTTTCCTACTCTGCCACACACAATCCTAATGAAGCACATGATTGTTGTGGCTGTAAAGCATTTGCTTTATTGGGGTCTACATTGAAAGTGAAATAAAATGCAATATGTTTATAAATAAATCCAGTTTCCAAGCATTTAATTCTGTTATTATATATATTTAATCATTTTCAGTTGTTATTGTAACAGAATGTCATGCCAGACATTGCCAGTTTATCAGATTAAATGCAATCTATTTTATTTAGTAGCAGACAGAGATTAAACTCACATCTTCAGATGAAATTATTCATTAACAGATGTTTCAGAAATGCCTGTTAAAATATGTATGTGTAAAAACACAAAACAGTGTTCCTGTATATCATGTATGGGGATTTCATATAATGGGCAATGAAACGAAAGTGCAAAAGTGATTCTCAGCAGATGCAGCAGTGTCCAAAAAATGTTACTAACTATTTAGAGCACATGAACAGGCCATTCAGTTCAAAAGGTGTCATAGAGTCATATATGGTAGAGTTGTCATTCAGATGAACCGCTTCCTGCCCCTCCCTCACCTGGCTGACCATGTTCCAGTCACTATTGTATGTACGTTGGATACTAACTGTCTTGCATTAATTTTCTAATTAGAAACAAGGAAATCTGATCAATCCCACACGCATTAGATTTTAAGTACATATTTGCCTAATCAGCTAAATGGAGCATCAAAGTCCAGCCCTGTTTGCTGTCATCTGACACAAAGGTAGGCATACGTACGTTCTAACAAAGTCACAGGAGTTGGAAACCTGAACCCATTTCTCCTTATCTGTCCCCATGCACACTGAGGCTCGGTATTACCCCTCTAGCTGAGGTTGACTACATCCATGTAAACTGGAAATCAGACCAGGAACCTGCCTGCTTGAAGTGACGTGATATGATACTGTGTAATAACCCAGTAAACTTGCTTGTCAATCCATATTCAGCATAAGACAAAAGCATATTTGAACCTAACATTGCACTGCCTGTAGTTTGCCTGAAGTTGCAACCTCACAGTGAACACTGGGTCCTCCTTGTTATGTTTACAGTCTATAACATTCTTGAATGATAAGGATAAAATTCAAAAATAATAACACGCATTTGCCTAGTAGCACCTTTGCCAAAGCAAAGAATCTCTCGTCACACCACGTGAACATTCTCCAACAAATGTTGCTTTCGAGGTTTGAATTTTCACAAAATGGAGAAGTTCTCTGGCTCAACCAAAATGTCACTGGGTCTCCAATTCCAGAACAGTTGCCCCAAAATAGGCACCCATCATTTTGGCTGTGGAGGGGGGTGAGGACATGTAATAGCTTACACATCTATGATACTGAATTTTTAAAAGTGTAGCTGCTTTCAAACAGATCTAATATTTGCTAGTGGATGTCCAAAACTCTTGTGGGCTTTATACACTTTAGGAGGTCTAAACTTGCTGCAGCACTTTGGTAATGTAAGGCACCCTGATCAATAGACTCTTAGAACTTTATTGTGTGTCATCTCAGTACAAACCCTGAAGAGTGCCCATGATGGATGCTGAGTAAATTGGCATGGAGGGTATAAGAACAAAGAGTGCTCACTGGCATAAGTTGGTGCGGAAGGCTATAAATGACAATGGTGTTGGGTAGAGGGCAATAAGTTGGCATGGTGCTTATGAGAGCTAAGGGCTCGTAGGAAAACAGGCATTGTTGTTATGGAGGTGAGGATATGAGAGACCATGGTGTGGGTAGAGTGGCACAGATTGATATGCAGAGTATGAGCGGCCATAGTGTGCGGTAGGTGTGAGGTGGCATGGATTGATTGACATGGATGGGACATGAGGTGAATGTGGGAGGGTGAGGAATTCTGAGATGTTTTTTATGGTGTTCTTTTTTAGTGCTGGGACTAAAGATCATTGAAGTCAGCCTTTCACAGAGCCTGCCTGTACACCTAGACCTTGGTGGTCCCAATTGGAAACTCATTCTCACTCCCCCTGCCCACACCCACTGCCCACCACAAAAGAAAGTTGCATGCACTTTGGCATCCACAGCACTTTCACGATAGTCAAGGTAGAAAATGTCCCAACTCCACACTCCCAGGTTGGGAGTGGAAAGTCATGCTCAAGTCTTTGACAGAAACATTAGGATGGATGTTCAACCACTTGGTTGAAGATTTAAATGTTAATATGCATCTTAATGAAGGAGGGGAGGAAGAAAAGCTTAGTGAGGGAATTCTAGGCTTAGGGTGGTATTTAGTATTTATTTTTATATTTCTAGGATGTTGAGTGGTTCTAACATTCTATAATTGTGGTAATATTATTGTGTGTTTTCCAGACAGTTCTATCTTGTCCCATATACCGGTACATGATAAAACTGGATACCATCTTCTGTTCAGCTAATAAGTGATATTAGCCTCTTGTCACACATTTCCCAGTGACAAAAGCTACCACTGTGCCAAAAAGCTTAATTTCCCACTAAGCACTGCTTGTAAATTAACTGCAGTCTGTGAATATTCGCTATCCAAATGTACTAATGAGTGTTGCAACAATGTCTGAACCAGAAGCAGAAAAAAAGTCAACTGAACTGTTTTAATTTGACAATTATTATTGATGAAGATGAATTCAGATTGATTTTTATATTATGATCTATATTGGCGAACTCACAAAGTTCATATTTGTGTAAGATCCAAATAGCACCTGTATTTGAAGTAATATTGACAAACCAAACACTGCTCACTGTCCTGAATGGTTATGCCAGCTGGAGATTAGCTTATTCTTGAGAAGCTTCATCAAAATTAAGTGCTAATCAGGCACTAAACTGGGCAGCAACAGGCGTTTGCTAGGCTGAAGGGCCCCAGAGTCTGACATCTCACCCACCCAAGGGAGTAGCCAGCCAATCAGAGTCTGGCTGCTCCCCATTCTTTGGAGGCATCACCCCCACCTCCTCTATATCTCCCGTCTTTCCCC